CGCACAGGAAATTTCCTCTCCTCCTCCTCCTTCCCGCCTTTGTGGTCGTCGAAATGCCGCCGAGGCCCGTTGGGCTCCTCACGGCTCCAAGTTGAACCCTCGCGTGCCGAATCGGGCAGAAAGCTGTCGACCGATCGGTCGTCTCATTAATCCTCACGATAAATGCTAAAATTTAATGTATAATACCATAACTTTCTGAAGACCGCGAAACGAAGCCGAAAAACCGTGCGGTTTAATCTCCGGAAAGAGAGAGGTGAGCGCCATGAATTCCTCATTCTTGGAGAGTAAAATCGCTAACTCCAGTTTCGCTCCCTTTGAGGTAATCGCTCATTCTTTTTTAAGAGTGTAAGATGACATCCAAAGTAATTCTTTGTCGACTTGGGATGAGCCTGGGATGAATTTGGGACGAGCTTGGGATGAATTTGGGATGAGCTTGGGACGAGCTTGGGATGAGCCTGGGATGAATTTGGGATGAGCTTGGGATGAACATTGTTCCAGGTTCAATAAGAGCTGGAGCTCGATCCCGGACGACGTGCGGCTGAAGCTGAATTTCGAGGGCGCGGGGCAGCTCAGCACGACCGAATTCAACTCCATCCCGGCGGAGGTCTTCAGGACCCTCGGGGCCGCCGTGAGTGGATGCATCTGCGCGCCGGAAGTCGTTCCGTGCGGGGTTCCCGTTCATTCGGGGGGGAAAATTTTCTGCGCAGAGAGATTTCCTGAAGAACATGACCTCGGACCAGCTGTCGGTGGCTGCGGAGAAGGTCCTCCGGGACGACGGGGCCAGCGCCGGCGAGAACCTCGCGACGGTGGGCCGGATGCTGCGGACCAGCGGCCGCACCCTCCCCCAGGACAAGGTCACGTCCCTGATCCAGAAGGCCCAGGCCCAGGTAAAGGCCCAATGCCCTTCCCCGCATCGACCCAGGGCGTGCCCCGGCGGGACGATGAATCATGCAGGATCTCGCGCCATGTTCACGTCACTTCCAGGCTGCAGCTCTATTTGCTGTCTTCTGTCTATTTGCCGTTCGATAAGGACACTCGCAAGCCCACTGTCGCCTGCTTTTACGCCTATAATCCACCTCGATTAGATCCGACACTAAATTTAATTGAAATTGAAATTGTAATTGTAATAGGTATTGAAATTGTAATTGTAATTGTAATAGGTATTGAAATTGTAAGTGTAATTGTAATAGGTATTGAAATTGTAATTGTTATTGTAATTGTAATTTAAAATGAATGTGCAGTTAAGCCTGAACGGCGCGGACGGGACGGCCGCGAGGCTGCGGAACGCCGTGCGGAACATGGCCGCGGCGATGCCCGACCCCTCGCAGTGGACCTCGGCCTCCGTGGACCGGATGGGGAGCATGGTGCTGCTGCTCGACAGGGATCAGCTGCTCAATGTCACCAAGGAGAACCAGCAGAAGATGCAAGTTCTTCTTTCCTGCCATCCTCCTTTCTGTCATCATTCTTTCTGTCATTCTTTCAGCCATCATTCTTTCAGCCATCCTTCTTTCTGCCATCCTTCTTTCTGCCATCATTCTTTCAGCCATCCTTCTTTCAGCCATCATTCTTTCAGCCATCCTTCTTTCAGCCATCCTTCTTTCAGCCATCCTTCTTTCTGCCATCCTTCTTTCAGCCATCCTTTCAGCCATCCTTCTTTCATCAGATAATTTCATCAGATAATTTCATCAGATAATTTCATCAGATAATTTCATCAGATAATTTCATCAGATAATTTCATCAGATAATT